CGAGCGCCGCCCGCCCGTCACGGCCCTTCACGGGGAAGCAGCGGCTGGCGCCGCGCGAGAGATCGCAGAGGGAGGCCCACGGGGCCCGGGGCGGGTGCCAGGCCGCGGCCCGCGTCTTCCGAGAGAGCCCGAGCTGCCGGCAGCGAGCAGAGCCTCGCGGCTGGAGCGGTGCCTGCTCTCAGGCACCACTCTGGTTCACTGGCACGGGCCCCGGGAGCCTCGAAAAGAAAATGATGTCATGCTGCACAGAGCAGAGCGCAGGAGTCACCCAAAAGGCTAGAAGCAAACGGAGAATTTGGCCTTTAATAATTAAAATCAGCCTATTTCTTGATTTTCCTGTCCCCAACGAGTGCCCTGCTCCTGTAGTGAAATGCTGAATGTCTACAAGACCCCACGGCACGGTGGGTCAACTGGATTAGGGACTGAACTTCCCGTTACAGCTTTTTAGCAGTAATGGACACTGTCTATCACTCATACCTGTGGAGCTGTGGGGAAATACCAGGCTATTGGGGTGAGGGAGATGCACAGGTCCCTCAGCTGGTAGGTGTGCTGGTGTGCCGCGGAGCTGCCGTCCTCCAGAAAACAGGAGCAGAAAGGATTGTTTCCTGGGAGGGATCCAAACGAGAGGGACAGGAGCGTTAATTATATCTCATTTTCCTTCAACTTGCTGTTAACATTTTTCTAGACTTTCATTTCTTCCAATTAAAGTTCCAAATAGTATTTTTTCCTTTTTTTCATTACAGTTTAATAGGCTAGCATATACAGGTTATTAGATGAAGGATAGCACACTACCATTTATTTCTTTTAACTTTTGATCTAATATTGTCCAAACTGTTAGAATTCAAAATTCCTTGTTTTATTCTTATTTTACTGTTCAGCATTGTTGTTCACTTGACCCCAATTCCAGAGTACTGCATCAGTCCATAATCTTAGATGGATGTTACTCAGTGAGAAAAATAGTTCGTACCTTTATTTTTGTACTAGTTAAAATCAGATTTGTGGTCTTTTCTGATAAATTCTGTGAGTTGTGGTAAACAACATTACTAATATAATAAATAATTTAAAAGTATTTTTAATCATGGAAATATTTTCATCAGCTTAGTTACCACTGCCATTTTTAAAATCTAAACATTTGAGCTGAGAATATATTTTTCTAACAAGATAAAGAGCTTTATATAAACCTAATAATGTGGTCAAGTCATATGGATAATAACAACAGAACATTATAAAAATAACAACTTGTACCTCAGTTTAATGGCCTTCTTAACTGACATGTAATGAAAGCAGAAACTCAAAAGATAATTCAAAGTACTGACAATTTCAGTTGCCTGTCACTAGTAGCATGCAAAATTTTAATTAATTCTACATGTTGCAGTATAACTAGTTTTTATTACTTCAGCTATTTATGTACCTACCAACATAATAATGTTTCTATTGGTAGAGAATACCCTTCTCTGATCACTCTGCAATACCATGAGATGGTCAGCTTGACTTGTATTTCACAGAGGCATTGCTGATTCACCTAGATTTCAGCTTAAAAGTCTGACATCTAAATAGTTTATTAGGACCAGATATTAATACAGCTATTAGTATTTGTGAGGGGTCACAGGTGCACAGCTCACAGAAGCCTCTTAGCCAAGCAGCTATCACAGAAGACAGACCAACTCCCATGAAAAAGAGCGCTTTTTTGTTAATTTTTGCTTCTTAATTATTTTGGGGCCCTTTTTTTTTTCCCTGTATGGTGCACTGAAGATAGAAAAATATCTAAGCACATGACATAAAAGCACAAAGACCCAAATTACATGCTTACTGTTTTCACAGTAAATACCTTCCATCCTAGTTGTGAAGCCTGGTCCTGCTGAAGTCTATCACCCAGAACTAAACACTGCTCAAACTGGTGAGAGTTGTTCTGAAAATTTCAAAACAAGATGTATATGATTTTATTGAAGACAATATTGAATTTAACAAAATACACATTATAATACTTAAGGCTGTACTATAAATTACAATGAAAAATACTTTTGGTTAGTAGTTTTTCATCTGAGTTTCCTGGAGTGGTTATTGCTACAGATTCAACAAATACCTTCTGTTCATTGTTCATGTAGTGAAAACAGCTGCAAGATCAACTGGAATACCATACTTCTACAGCCACAGATTTGGTATTCAGTACTCCCAGATGAAACCAGCTATATTAACAGCAAGTACAACATTCTCAATAGCACACCAACACTGCTGAGTCACAGTATATATTAGGGGGAAATGCATCTGTAAAGTTCCCCACAGTAATTGCATGGCAGTTGCTTCAGAGAGCACTTATAACAGTTACTTTACAGACATAACTTAAAACAAAAGACATTTTGAGAAATGAATCTTCATGATCCCCACCTTAAAAGAAAGTGAAGGAGTCCAAACAAATCTGAGTTTCAGTGTCATGTACTCCAGGACTAAGGTCAAGTACTCAAACAGCAAGTCCTCTTAGAACAGGATTTTTTTTTGCTGTGTTTTCATAATACCACAACATATGTTGTGACACAGCTGTCCCTGAGTATAGCCAGCAACTTCTGGGTGCTACCATAAGGCACCACAAATATTTTTTGCGTCTTGCCTTTTTTTTTTTTTTCTGCTTGGGTTGCATTGTGTGAAATGCAGGTCAGCAACGAGTGTTTCTTCCTCCCAACAAAGTTAAGTTAAAAAAAGCAAGGGGGAATGAAAGCGCCATTATTTTTAGAGTCATTTTATGTATAGCATTCAAAGCAAAGAAGGAAATGAGAATATCTTGATGTCGTTGAAATTACTTTTTCTAAGATCTTCCATAAATGTTTGTAGAGCTTGATAATTCTGAATGTTGCTTGTTACAGTTTTAAATGGAAAAATTCAGGTCTGTCAAATCAAGCAGTTGTGCCCTAACTACTTGTCTATCTAATTAGATGTCAAGGTTATTTATGTGACACTATATTTTGGCCACCTATACCAACATCTACAGTACAGTTATTTTTAATTAACTGGTATGTGCATATAGATGAAGTGTTACATACCAGGGATTAACAAACATAATTCCATCAGCAAATTCCTGCAGCTGAAGTATTAGAAGGTAATGTGATTTTCTGGAGAAAGAGGGGTTTATTTTGAACACCTTTAAAAGTTACAGCTCATTGGATTGTTTCACTTGTCAGTTCTCATGTTTGTTGTGGAGGGAGAGTTAGCATACTTCATCACTTTTTGCAATTCTACCTACAGGACTTGACACTGAGGCAAATTTATCATGACTGATGATTATCAAGTTGCTGGATTTACTGAAGGTACTTTAATGCTTAATTGCCACTTAGTGCTGAATAAGCACTTAATAAACTAAAATCAAATGTTGATTAAATCATATCCTCTAATTACATCATACAATAAAAGGGTGCTTTGACTGCAAAGTCAAGTTTTGGATAAGGACACCAGTTTTTAGAGGTCAGCCCAGAGTTAGCAGCCTCTGACTTCAGAGAACCTAAGATAACTTTCTGCATCCCGCAGTGAAAGAGCTGTGTCCATCAGCTGTCTGTTGCAGGAATTCTTAATTTTAATAATGCTGCTATTGATAACAATGCTCTCAATTTCTCATGACCTGCACAGAGTGCCAGTTTAAGATTTTATAATTGATCCTGTCAAAAGCAGAAAATTAGGCCATGCACTGTGGGCTACTGCTCCTCATCCTGACCAACTGTTCTCCGTAACTATCCCTAAAAGGCTGAGTGGATGTTCCAGGCATAGCTTAGGTAGGGAGAACAGGCTGCACATAAGTATTTGTTTTCCTGGTCATTCAGTCTTCTTGAATGCCCATAGTAAGGGTAGATGTGTTGAGATCTGGGTTTTCATTGGAAATTTTATTAGCGGCAACAATTTCTTATTCCTCCCTGAAGCAGAAAGATCAAACTCAACACAACTGCAGGAGCCTTCCACCTAAGCAGTAGCAGAGGGCACCCAAAGTGCACCAGGGAAGGTTCACCTAACAGCATTCCCAATGCTAGTTGTATTTGTAACAGACACTAAATAGCATAGCCTAGCTTGAGCCATTACTCTTATTCCTGGCTTTTCTCAAGAAGATCAGTTTTAAGCCAACACATTCATGTGTGAAGTTCCTCAATACAGCAGACATGCATTATGAAGCAACTCAAATCTGCCACCTATTGACTTTTGAGGTGCAATTTCTGAAGTGCATGGATTTGTCACATTCCCTATGCTGTACACCTTTTTTGTTGGGGGGCTGTGTACCATTTCTATCTTTGCTTCAAGCTCTTGTTTTCTAACTTCAATTGAAATTGGTTAACACTGAGATCAATTCCAGACAACTGGGCCCCCAAAAGTCCAAGTTCAGGAGACAGAAGCATCAGACCAGATAAATATTTCAGAACTGCTGTATCACAGCTACAGTGTTTGCATAACTACTGAAGTATCTAGTACATAAATTCTGAAAGAGACATTTATTTGCATTGACAAGAAAGAAATCTCAGCAAACAGATGTTTGAAAGAGATGCCTGGACATGCCTCTAAGTGAAAAAAGCCAAACCTGACCATTGGAATTTTTTATTTTTCTTTCAATTATATATTATTAGGGTTAGTCACCCTGAAGTCTAGACACAATCCCAATACTGTCACAAGGCCAACGGTCAGGAAAGAACAGAACTGCTGCTGCAAGGCAAGCACAACACAGTACTAATTAGCACTGGAATGCAATCAGTCTGAAAGCTAAACTGGTTGACTTTGTTCTTTTACTACTGTCTTAAAAACATTGGCAACTTTTATGCCTTCAAACTTCACTAAAAATTATCAGAGACAGCATTATGTCCTATAAACATCAGCCCAGAGAAATATTCTCTTAAAGCAGGTGTTCGTTTGAGTAATAGCTTTAATTTATAGCTTCAGCACCTGCAACTGATCTACCATAGTCCACAGCAATAACTGCTAAGCAATTAGTAGCCATTACAGCATGAATAATGCTATAAACAGTAAATCACCAAAAATGAGTAATTAAAGTACATACTGCACATAGTGGAAGCACAGGTAACAGCCCCTCTCAATTTTTGGTTTAAAAATCTTTGCAGGTCAGTGGAAATCTAGGTCATCATGTTCTGAAATTTAATCATTCTGTATGAGGCAAACATGATTACATCCCTTTGCTTAACAATATGAGATTAGCAATTGTGAAGTAACTCTTCTTAACAGGCATTTTGTTGGCAATCTTCCCAAGGCAGCTGTGGACTTGATTAGCCACCAGGACCAAATTCTCTACAGCAGGAATTATCCAAATAGGGCTACTGGCATACCAGGAGAGATGATTAAACATGTGATGTATTAAATAATTCAGGGAAATTTTTTGTCTTTAACTGATATGAAGCAGAACATACCTTCTGCTTATGCTTGCTATTATGTCAAATTAGCTTTACACATTTAAGGGGAAAAGACCTCTTAGAAGATAAACTTTGTCGGGTTCACTTTGGGTTTTTTCTTGGGCTTTTTTTTTTTTTTTGAGGGGGGTGGTGGTGGTTGTGTTTAAGACTCTGAGAAGATTAACTGCTAAATCCACTTAAAAACTTGAATTTGAGACTACCTGGAATCAAAGTGCATTTGAATTAGTACGGATGATGGACTGTTCTCTAGCTGCTATTACAGGTGACCACAACTCTAAGCCAAAATAGCTCCCCACTCTCCAACTTTGGGAAACTCTTAACTAGTTTCTTTTTTAATATTAAGTATACCCAGACACAACTGCATATCAGCTAGGGGAAAAAAAAAAAAAAAAAAAAAAAGAAAAAAAAGAAAAAAGGAATTTAAAAAGTTATTAGAAGACTTTCCAAACCCCAAGAATGTTCTGAAAAGGGTAAAGGATTTACAGCTCATGCCTTGTTCACAACTCTCAGTTTACTATTTCCCAACACCTCTGTTAACCCCTTAGGCCCTCCCCTTACCCTCCCACAACCCTTTTCTCCTCCATATGCCAACATCTTCTGCTAGACAGAATCCCCCCCTTTTCTTCCTGTAATGCTCCAGTGACATACTTCCTTGCTATTTCTCATCTTGTACAATCTTACTCTGCACATTTCAGACCAGCCACACATAATGAAGACATCTGACTATACAGGGGATGACCACGCGAAGGAAACTAGATTGGCACATGAATGTGCTGTTGTGAGCTGAGGGGCCCTTGTGCTGAGGTGTATCACTGAGCATGAAGTATGGCTGTAAAGTTTGATAAGATGTTGGTCTTTGGAGCTACCTGAAGGGAAAAAGCTGAAGAGTAGATGAGCAGTAGGTGGCCATGAAAGGGAAGAAAAATGACATGTAGCATACAGGAAAGGCTGCACACTGGAAAACACCAGATGGCTGGGAGGTGAGAGTGGCCACTTTTAAAGAATCAATAAATCATTGCCTTCCCACCCAGGAAAGGCTGAACAGAATCTACTCGTAGGTAATTTCACCTATTGCAGACTTGCCATATTCTATATCTACTCTACAGAGTTCTCTGGAGTAGAAAAAATGCTTTAGTTCTGTTTAACTAATGAGTTCAGGATAGCATCCAAAGAAATGAGATTTCTCTTGTTGAGTTTGCTCTTGTCTAAACTTCACTGGATTTCATTATAAAGCATTTAAACAGCAGCCTTTCACAGATTTTTATGGCAGCATAAAGGAAGTTGTGCTACTTTCCTTCTGAAACTAAGAAAACAAGATTGGCTCCCCTACAAATTGCTGTAATGTACATGCACTTTGGGGTGAAGGGGAACCAAACCCCACCAATTCAGAATCCTAAGAGCTTTATTATGTAGTTAAAGATTTGTCTTTAGGATGTGATCCACGTTCAACAGTTGTGGGGACAGAAGAAAGTCCCAGAAGGGGGAGAGAAGGTCAGAACATTAGAGGTAAGCAAAAGCAAGCATACCAGCCATACCTAGCAAGGGCTGCTATATACAGTACCAAAACCACATCATCTGCAAACAAAGTATTTTCCACACCATCCAGAGAAGTTATTGCACATGGTCAGAATAAGTCACCTGTATAAAGCCAGAGTATTCAGTTAAGTCAATAAAGGGTGTAATAAATATATGACAATTAAAGGAGTGATAAGAAAATCTTTCAGAAAAGAAAGGTAAGTGTCTACATCCAACTATTCTGCACAGACTAAACTTAAAGCACAGGGAAGACTATTACAAAATGTAAAATGGAGGAAGGGACAATTCCCAGTGTACTGCAGGATTAAGCTTCTGGGCAGGAACTTGCTTTTACTTTCCGCAAAGTAATTTGCAAGCGAAAAGGCAAATCAGAGAATCTCTATGCAAATCATGGCTAAACTGATGTCAAAAGACTATTAAACGTGATTTATACGTATAAAGGTTTACACAGTTCTCCTATATCTTGTCCACTCTTGGGATCTAGAAGTCTCATGGAAAGAGAAACAAACAATGTGCAATTGAGAAGATCCAAATTGCAGGTCTACAGAGATTTAGTTATCAGTTCATTAATATTTGGCCAGAATGGGCTAATCAAAAGAGTTCCAATTACACCTTTCTGGTTTCAGTTCATGGCATAAACTAGAACTGCCATAAGGCTATCAATTAAGCTCCATCAGCTGTTTAAGCAGAGAAGGAATACTGACTCCAAATCCCTTCAAAATTATTTTATTTAAAACAAAGAATTAGAAAAACCAAGCACTAATGAGTCCTTTTATGAAGCAAAGTTTTTGCTTTGATAACAAGTTAAGTCCTTATAATAAACCCTTGTTTCACCAGCAAAGACCAGAAACAGTTACAAACATCAGTGGAAGTATGAATTAAATGTTGCCATCAAAGTGGTGTTACTTTTAGTTACATTTGTTGAGGTTTTAATCACTTACTTTCTTTTGAGTTTATCCTTTTAGTGTTTCTGCAAGTGGTTTTGGTTTTTTGTTTTGTTGGTTTTTGGTTTTTTTTTTTTTTTTGTCTCAACATCTTGAAAATTATCTTGAAACTTATAGAAACTAATAACCAAGAGATAATACATTTCTGTGGTCCTTGGAATTCACATCCTGGTTATCTACATTTTTGACAGCTCTAACAGGACAAAAAGGCCTTGGTAAGACAAAAAAAAACCCAAACCATGAACTCTGCAAATTGTAGATTTGCTTAACATAAAAGTGTAAGTTCTTACCTTATGTAAAAAGTAGTCGTCTGCACTAGCTCCACATAATCTTTCCAGTTAGCAAAACAAGCACACTGTACAGTGCCAAATAAATGGATTTGAAATGGCGTAACAGCTTCCTTTTAAAGGGCAGTTCCCACCTCTTCTAGTGTCCCACAATACTGTTCAGATACATTACTCAACTGCTCAAACTTCCTCGCTGGGCATTGCACAACTGCAGAAAGAGAGGAAGCAAGAGTTATGCTAACTAGTATTTTTCTGCTGCACTTCTCCAAGTAACTTAAGGCTACTTAATACAAACATCCAAATGAATTAATACTTTCTCATGCTTATATATTACATAGCAAAACATCTTGGGACTATGGTGAAACAAAATTCACAGCATTTGAAATTAATAGTATTCTGCAATTAGTTTGGTTTACTAAAGAAGTAAAGCTCATGCAAATATACTGCCTATATGCATTCCATGAAAATCTGTAAATATCCAATAGTTTGATGGGGAAAAAAAAATACCCACAGCTGGCCAATTTTCAAAAGAGATTTTGCAAGTGAGCTGAAGTTACCAGGAGGTGACCAGACAGGATACAAACTCCTGTGATTGCTTTCTACAAGGATTCTGACTGAGCCATCTCATTAAAGTAACCTTGTTTTATTTAGTATATGAAACTAAATAGTCCAGATTTTAAGGCTGTGGTAACCCACCCCCCTCATTTCAGTATTTCCTTATTCTTTTTTTCTAAACTTTTGCATCTAAAGCCCACACCTTAAAAGGCAATTATTGCTATACAATAATATGAATGTTATTACAATATGATATATATGCTATATGATAATATGAATGTAAGTTTTCTTGTGATCAGTGTTTTACACTTGTGGTATGTGTCCAACCACATGTCCCACCACATGTCCCTTAGTCTGGCAAGAATAAAGACAACAGAACACATTTGAATCCAACAGTAGTTTATTACTCACTCATTGCAGATGAAGTTAGACACTTCAGTTACCAGTCAATATAAGTTTAAATATTAGTTGACAACTGCAGAAAGTGTACAATGAGTACAAAATCATTAACAATAATATAACAAAAAGTTCCGATGTATTAATTTTTAAAACATCAGTTGTACACTATTATACAGCAACCATTATATGATCCTTAACAATCTCAGGGCTTGCATTTAAAAGTACTTTTTTTTAAAATAAAGTTCTCCAAGAGGTTGAGAGACTGGGGATTATAACTGCATTAGCTCCCAAAATACTACTAACATACAGCCTTACCTTATACAGACAAAGCTGTTTTCTATTTTTATGAACACTCGCTTTTATCAGGAAATGCAGTAACAAAAAAAATCTATACATAAAAAATTAAACTCCAATACACAATATATTATATCTCTATCTCTATATGTTGTACTACAGATTTCATATAAATCAAGTATAGGCCAAATTTTGGCATAATTTTTAAGTGCATTAAGTTTAATATAAAATCCCCCTCAGACTTTGCTCTTACTTTTCAGGTTACTAGCTCCTGAACTGATCTCTTTCAGTTATGATACTTTAGACATCTAGAATTGTCTTAAGTTCTAATTTCCACTTCAGGAATATCACCCTTTTCTTTCATTACACTTTCTAACAAAAATAAAGTTGTGGGAAAAACTTAGTGACTAATTTAGTCAAAGTTTAGTGACGAATAAAATTCTCCAACTTGATAGGACTTTTATTTACATTTACTGGTCAATACCTTTAAGGTAGCATTCTCCTGTGTACCCTCTATTCTTTGATCCTACAGGAAGATTTACTAATTATACACTGCAAACACATATTGCTTTGCTTCATTTTGTTAAATGGACTCTTATCAACATGCAAATAAATTATTTCTGCTGCAGAATGGAATGCAAAGAAATTTTTCTAATACACAGTTAAATTTGCTTCAACTCCAGCGTGTGATATTTGCTTTTTAGAGAACACCTAAAGAGCTATATCCTCTCTGTCACAAAATACCACATTTTGTTTCAAATTAAGCTTTGTTTGCCTTTGTTTCAGTAAGTATTACAGGAAGAAAAACAACATTAGCATCCCAACTAATCTATCAATTTGACAAATATGGTATTTACAGTAAATTTTAAAATAGGCTTCTATTATTTTTTTTCTGAAACAGAAAGGCCACTTAAGCTTTTCACTACAATAAAGTTCTGCATGAATTCAAAGAGACTTCCTCCCTCAAAAAAGGTCAAAGTTTCCTCAAAGTCATTTGTAGAACAGATAAATAAATTGTATAACCTAGAAACATTCTACATTAGACCCCAAAACCACCCAAAAATCAATTACAGTAAAGTTGAGTCACAATACCCCAAGAAATCAATTCTCTTGTCATCATTTTATCTACTGACATTATTTTGGGATTTTGTCATTCAGCACAATTATGGTATGGAGGGGAAAGCATCAATGAAGGGTTGCAAATGTGCAGCCAATTCCAACTACTAAGAAACAGCTTCCACGTTAAGCCCTTTAAAAGTCTTGTGAAAACTGGTCTAAGTATGATTTTAAAGAGAACAATCTCTCAGACCTCAAAAGCAAGTATATTACATTTACACCTTAGAAAGTAAGTCCCTTTGCACACACTGATGCCTGTACACATGTCAGAGCATGGATACAACCTTCAGGGTTCATTCTCAGTGTAATATGGGAAGGAACCAGATGCAGAACTCCCAGTGAAGTCAACAGGAGTTAGAGAGCAATGCCCCTTCAGACCACTGAACTAATAAATCTCTTGTGTATTGTATGTAAAAAATAAAAATCTCAATTTTCTATTGAGAAAGCAAATACTGAAACAGAAACAACTTTTAGCACAACAGATGTATTTACTTACAGCATGCAAGGTTTGTTTTTATGTATTTGAGCAGCTAACAGCCACTAACAGCCCTTAAGTATTTACAAGTTCAAAATTACAATCTTCACATCAGTAGCAATTGCTTACAAAAAGTTCAGGCTCCCTGGGAAATAAGCAAGAAATGGAGTAAAAAATACTGAAAGCAGTAATAAAAAATAATAGCAAAGGAAAACATAACAGCTCTTAAAATCCAGACAATTTAACACTGTTCTGGTAAAAAAAACAAAAACAAAAACAAAAAACCAAAACCAACAACAAAAGCTATATATCACATTTAGAGATGCCATTTTAAAAGAAATGCACTTTTTTTTTTTTTTTTTTTTAAATTTCCAAATAAATAAACAAAATACTACTCCCTTTGGTTTGCCAATTTACCTTAAAATAACTTCTCCACCTTCCCCTTTCCTCCCCTTCCCAATTTGCAAAGTAATAAGGCAAATGTGATCAGAGACTGAAGAGCTTCATAAGCGATCACACAGGACAAAGACACTTCAATCCCAGTTCATGGTATCAGAAACACAAGTAATAGCTTTTTTATAAACATGAAACTTTTTTCAAAATAATAGATTCTAGGACTTACCCAAGATGCAATGCATATGTTAGTTCTGATTAAGTCATAACAAATCCTGCTCCTACATTCAAGGCAGTCTAAGACAAATTCAAGTCTCTTCAGCGTCTTGGAAAACAGAATTGTGTGCCAAATTAACAGTCATGTCAAGTGCAGTTTCAGGTTTTATTTCATACAGTAATTAAGTTAAAAATTTAACTCGTAGCTTTTTGTAATAAATGTGTATTGATATCTGCTTCTGTAAAGTAGTAATTTCTCTCTTTAGGACTATACAACCTAGAACTGAGGAAGTTCACTAGCAATGACATATGAATACGTTTTTGTCCCACTTCACAAAAGGTTTCAAGTGTATCATCCTTCTGAAAAGATATTTACCTACCTTTTAAAGCTATGTTAAGTTTATTTATAAATAATTTGGTACCAGCTGATGCTCATACTAGAAACATTTTTTCATGTTCAGCTCTAGGAATAGCTACAGGCAAAGAAAGTGCTCCAGTTTTATCTGCTCTTTTCTTATGCCTGATTTGAAGGAATCTTGGCTTATTATTAGACAAAAATATACTAAAATGCAAATATTTAAGTTGGATTTTTTAATTTTTGCATTTCTGTGATTCTTTATAACAATATTCATATTGCGTGATATTTTGTGCTAAACTGTCCTCTTGAGCCTAGTCCCTTATAAAACATGAAAACAGAATAGTAAAATTTTTCACATCAACTTCAGTGAAGTAGTTGCAGTCTTAGAGACAGGGTTGTAAAGGTGCTGTATAAACATTCCGATATACATTTCCTGTGTACTAGACTATGTGATACATGGGACATGACATTTTGAAATTACCCAATGCAATGTATAAAAATATAAAATATGTATTTATGAGTAACAGTAGAATAAGTTACAGTGCAATTTTCCTTAGACTGTTGAAAGCCCTACCTGCATATTTTTTCACCCATTCTGTATCTTCCACAGTAGATTTTATTATTTTCCATTAATAGTAAAACAGAGCAAGCACAGCTAGAAAACACAGCTTTAAGAACACTCTTGTGCTGTAAACTTGAAGTTCCTAGAAGCCAAATATGTAGCTTAAAAATTAGTTTTGCTCACTTCTGTGCTAGAATTTAAATATTTTTTTGCTACAAACTGTAAAGCTATTTAAGGAGAATATGCCCTAAATTTCAGAGAAAGTTATCCTATTTTCACCGGTCCTCAGAATAATTTACTATAATTGGAACTACACCACTTGCTCAGGGCTTTAAGCGTAAGGCATTTTGTGTACATTCCCCCCAGCTATTTAATCACTATCTTAGTGTGCAAAGCCAAACCAGTGGGAAATCCCTCCCCTCAAAACCTTGGAAACCGATATACCTTTTACTGCACATTCAGCATTAAACTGCAAAAGAACAGATAGAAAAATCAAATCCGGAAATATGCACTGAAACAAGCTAACCATTTTCTACTAGGTAAGGTCTTTTCAACTATAGAAGTTGTTTAACACGCTATCAGTTCTGAATACATCGGTTTGAATACATTCATCGTGGTGCATTCTGAATGCACTGAAGAAATGCATCAGAAAAGTCAGCTCTTCACACCATCTAATGCCAGTGTACAGTAACTTTGACTGCTCTGAGGAAAGGGATACAAAGTTCATTTTGTGAATTTACATATTAACAGTTTGGAGATATGATCTCCAATACAAAAAACCCTTCCAATTCCAAATGTTGTTTACAAAAAATGTAAGCTTTGTATTTTATCTAATCACTGTACTTCCCAACCAAACCAAATTATGTTTTCCCTTAAAGAAATGTACAATACAGAACTAAATAATTCATGTCTGGCCAGACAATAAGACAGCTCTTGCTGCAATATAACAGTTCCTGACATGTAAAGAACAAATTGGGCATTGCATTAATACAGTCAAAATGAAACACAAAAGAGGCACATGAAATTACAGTTGAGGAGTCATATTCTACTTGTGACTGGAAAAAGGAACATGAAAAGCTGAAAAGTGCATAATAATTTGGTAAAATTTACATATGCACAAACCATTTATGCATACTGTCTTGACTGCTCACAATCTGCCTATCAGAATGATTAAAAATTTAATTTGATCATTATATTTTCCTATAGGTAAATTGGGTAAAAGTGCTCATCACCTTTAAATATAGTACGTTAATGCATAAAAATACTTTTTTTTTCTAGAATAAGGATTATATTTTCTAAGCAAATATCTAAAAACAATGGTCCTTCTAAATTAGTTTGGAATAGTGAGGCCCATTTCTTTCCAGAATGGGGTGTTTTTATTGTTTACACATTTAGATAATTAATTTTGAATATCTGTTCACTGTATAAACAATCTCCAGAAAAATATATTCTCTTCCAGTAACTTACAATACACATTAAAAATACTTACAAAAGGGATTATTGTCCATTTACAACATTTTGAACTTAAGAACACAATTCTTGGGTCATTTCATTTATGTAGTTTTGATCAGGCTATACTGAATATTCTGGTTAACTTGAACCATGCCAGTAAGGTGGACAATCCAATATTTAAAAACATCTGCCTAATCATGTAGGATTTTAAATAAAATTAGGCATTTTTACATCACAGTATATATGGCATTTCTTAATTTAGCAACAGAAAGGCACAGTTATTAAACCATAAAATACAGTACCTAAATCACATATGTTAGTGATATCTATCAAAACCAGTTCAGATATTTTGCTCTGTAGAGGGGGCTAAAGAAAAAGGCTCTCTTTCTTTTTTAGAAAAATTCAAACTCATTACAAGTTTGGTCCGTTAAAATGCCTATTAGCTGAAACATTTTGAAGCAGGACTTCTGGAAAGAATAGAGGAAAGCAAATTTAGCAGTCTATGGTCCAACAACTTGAATAAATTACTATGAAATGGCAAACAGATCATGAATGGAGCTTTCTGATTAGCTGTCAGACATACCTGTTAAAATCTCAATGTATACAGGTACAGCATGACAGACATTCCAAGTACATTCATTGCATCACACACACACACACACACACACAGACTTTGTAACAGCAATTAAGTCTAGACATAGCATTTATAGAGTTCAGCACTTCTCATGGCCTGATATTTGACTTCTGGCCCCACACCATACCCAAAGACGTGCAAAGTTCTTTAAATGCTTTGCCTGCTATGCACTGCTGTTAAAGACCCTGCTAAAGCCAAGCTCACTGGCCTTCCCTTAGCAAACTAGTGCACCTCTTCAAAAAGCAACTAGCTCTGTTCTCCTTATTTAAAGTGATAAAACTTCATCAAGACAGACCAATAAAATGGAAGAGGCAAGGAACAATAAACATGAGTGAGAACCCAACCATTCCATAAGTAATATAGCGATAGGGAAGCTCAACTTCCATGCGTTGTCTTGCTTTCCGTACATCATCATGTGGTATGCGAAATATTTTACATGCCAGTGGAATAGTGGCTTTTTTCATCACTACTTTTGTTAACAACAGAACTATCACACCAATCAACAACCGCAATATGGCTTTTCCAAACACAGTCACAGTGAGAGAGGAAAGAGATAAAGGTAAGGTCTCGGGAGGAGGATCTAACTTTAGACCCATTATGTAGTTAACGTGAGAGCCACAGGCTACTCCAGCACCGCAGCCCAGTATCTGAGCTGTGTCTCCTCGCGATGTGCTCCAGGTGTCTAGAGTAAAAGAGAAGATGCCCAGGGCTAAATGGAGACTGATGATAATTAAGGGTGCATATTTGTAAGTTAAGTTGAAGTTATCAATCAGGTCCACAACTGGATGGAAGACAACCAATATAAGAATAGCATACAGAAATCCAGCAATAACATCCTGTTGAAGAGAGAGAAAAATATGGTTTCAGTGTAAAAATTATTTAAAAAAAATAATTGTTACATCAGCAGGAAGACAAGCCTAGTTGCTCTGTTGCTAAAAGCAACTTCTAGAATCTCATCTTTTCCCATTTACCATACAAGATTAAATCTTCTTCACGTTAAAGGTAAAAAATTGCATTTGGTCACCTATTAATAGGACACCTGCATCATGATCTGATCAAATGCTCCACGATCAAAACTGTAGATCTACAGACTATTTAGTAGGGCCTATAAGCGACAGGACAAGGGAAAATGGCTTTAAACTGAAAGAAGGTAGATTCAGACTAGATAAGGAAAAAAATTTTTACCATGAGTGTGGTGAAACACTGCAACAAGTTGCCCAGAGAGGTGATAGATGCCCCATCCCTGGAAACTTTCAAGGTCAGGTTGGACAGGACTCTGAGCAGCCTGATCTAGTTGAAGATGTCCCTGCTCACTGCTGGGGGGTTGGACTAGATGACCTTTAAAGGTCCCTTCCAACCTAAACCATTATGTAATTCTTCTATGATTCTATCTGCTGGCTCTAATGGTCCTTGTCCAGGACTGGGGCATTCCAACCTACAGTCAGCACAAAGCTAATCCAGCTAAATAAATTCTGCCAACTTAAGTTTGCTGGAACAGCTCAATGCTGGATCTAAGTGCCTGGGTGCCAACACACAGGCAGGCTGGCAGCAACAGCTGGCAAGGCAGGCAAGGCCCACTGCAGCTAGGCATTAGAGCAGCTTAGACTTTCCACTCCAGAATCAACAATACTGCAAGAATGGAGAACTGTTTCCAACTCCTAAAGGAGAAGAAAATGTAACTTCTGTGCCTTCATATTTGATTTTCAGTTTTATTATTGTTTTTAAAATCTATTAATTAAAAGGTTACTCTATTTTTTAATGTGACATTAAGTTTCAGTTACTGTTGATTAATCACTCAGTTGCACAGTATTACCTGCAACTTTTGTCACCTTTAGTTGTTATGGAGGAATTTGTCAAAAGGTTTTTAGAAATCTAAGCACTAGAAACCAGATCAGCTTCATTCATATACTTATCAACTCTTCCATACGAGCCAAGGAGCTGGGACTTCTGTCAGCAGTATTTGTATTGCTCCATCTTCAATTAATCATTTTTATGCACTAATTGAATGCTTGGTGAAAGCTCAAATACGACTGACTGATATGAAAGTCAGACTTGCTAATTTCAGAAGCAACCACAACTTTCTACATATTTGCCACCCTACACCCCCCACCCCAAACTTTGGCATGATAGTTGATCTATATTGCAGGCAACACGTGGTTAATTGTATTCACTCAAACACTACTGAGGATTCAGATATAAAACTGCTGAATAACCGAGTCTACATGATGCATCACTATTCGTTGCATGACTTTGTTCCAAGACATTATCTGTCAGCTGACATTGCCAGCTGAAATATCAGTTCAGCCCATTGTCATCCACACAAGTGGTTCTGACTTGGGAAGCCTCCTAATCACTAATGTAAAATGTGTCGTTCAGTTTTTCTGAGCTCCTTTTACACTGTGTTCATCTACCAGAGCTTTACAACTCACTACCAGGCCTACTGCTTCCTGTCTGTTCGCTTTTCTCCTTCCAGCACGTGATCCTCAAAAACCTCTTTAACCACCCTTATTAGTGGTCTTACATTCCAATTACCATTTTGTAATATCTTGTTTTCCCCTTTTTATATTACACACATCTGTGTTTTATTTTTTTAATCCTTTTTAATAAATAGGTCTGTTTTTCAAAGATGACAATTTTATTATTTGGTTTTAGAAACTTGGGTAAGTGAAACCCTAGAATTAGCATGGCACTGAAATGCACATGCTTTGAGTAGCTGACATAAGTGGACATTAACAGCCACTTTCTCATACTGCAAAATTATTTCTACTCTGTAGAGGAAAGCTTAGTCTACGCTTTAGCGTGGTTACACATTTCTGCACTGAAACCTCTATTAAACATCAGCTAAGCTTCAACTGTGGACTACATTTATTAAAAATTGCGTTTAGTAAAAATGAACAGAAGTTCAACGTCTACTTTTAGCTGTTGTCTCAATTTCTCTGCTGAAGAAATGTAAGTATTGTGTTCCTATATGGTAGGACGTTAAAAAAAAAAAATCTCTATACACCTACTGCAGTGTAAAAAACTTAAGTGTGATGGAAGTTTATGAAATCAGAACAACATTGAAATAAGTTTAGTAGGATTATTTTCTTACCAAAATTGAATGCATTCCCATGTAAATTCGACTACAGCAAACCAAAGAACACCAGCAGAATGCAAGGATCAGTCCAAACATAAGGGGATACTGGTAGGGAAAAAAAAAAGAGAGATTGTATTAGAATTTGAAAAAAAGAAATTAAAAAAATCACTCTGTAATAATTCTATAATTAATTCCAATTAATGCAACTTATGCTTAGCTTTTCCCCTGCCCTAGCCTACACATGCCTATTAGACCACCTCATGTCAGTCCACTTTTCATAAAGTTAAAACATTATTAGGTCAAGCTTTTTCAACTTTCTCCTTGTCCTCTTCCTTTGCATTCAGGATATATGAATTTCAGGGTATTGGTCATATCTTTGAAAAGTGGTAAGAAGTTAATAGATCTTTGTAGCAGTTAGTCTTGCCACATTATGATATCCTAAACTGGCAATATGGGCAGAGACAAGCCTTGTGTTATAACTGTGGAACAGTTTTACACGGGGTGAAGCAGTTATGTAATATACTACTAGTATTGTTAACAATTACCCAGGCAGAATCTAGTAGCTTCACCTTTCTCCTGAAAAGGAAGAAAATAATTTACAAATAAATTCAATCCCTTACACACTGTTTTAGAGTTTCTGCAATCCTTGACTCAATCTCTGACCATCAGTAAAGAAACTCCTAGAATAGTAAACTTTCCTGTTCTCTACAAACCCATGTAAATTTCCTCCTACATTCCATGTCTATTAAAAAAAATTACCAATTATTTCTATCTTCTGATAGACTTTTTTATTAATAAGGACCATTTACCAGGAACAAAAAAAACCCAAACAAAACAAAAAACAACCCTTTTTTTTAATAAACATACATCCGCATGTGTAAAAACTTGCTATTTTAACCTTCTTAAGTTTTGGATAAAAGTATGCTAATTCACATCCTAAAGCACATTAGGAAACACTTTCCCCACTACCATATTGCAAAATGTTGTGCAAGATAGGATACAGCTTCCTTTTTTCAGTATTAAAAATAATTATTAGTTCTATAAAAGAAGCAGTCACAAGATAAAATGGCATGTTTCCAAAATTGCTTCACTTCCTACATGAAAGCAACAATAAACACTTTCAATATAAACAGGCAGTCCAGATGTTTCAAACTTCAGAATAAAAACCAAGAATTACAGGCAGTTAGACAGTTTTCTTGCCCTTTCCCTTGCTCCTTTTACAGGCAGCCTGAAGGGTGGAATATCCAATAAATTAGAGAAAGTATCTTTAATCTTATTGGAGAAAGTTGTAGTCCTCTGTGAAGGCCACTTAACAGATTGATGAGCTTCAAAATTGGTCCTTCAGTGGAAGGTTTGAGAGCAAATTATCAACCTTTCACATTACTCCAACATTCTTTGAATTCTCAGCTGCAGGACCATGTTAACATGACAAACCTAAAGACTTTTTCCTCAAGCAGAAAATCAGGATGCTTACACTTCACATAAGAAACAGATTTCACAATAAAATCAATTCTCAGTGCCCAGCTCACAGCTGTGCTACATCTAGTTTAACATTTGTCTTTGTATCTACTATATTCAGCTACAAAGTGTACCTAAACAATACTGTGTACTCAATGATTCATTTCTAACTGAAACGATGAAGAAACAAATTCAGTTTCCTGCCTTTCAGAATTACACTAATAATGGGCAAGACACCAGTAACTAGGTCACACTGCAGGCATGACTGCGGAGTTATCAGATGCTGACATTGTTACAGCAGCCACAAGAGAAATCTGTGTACCCTGTCCTGCATGGCCAGAATACAAATGTAGCCCCACCACTCACCACCATTACACCTCTACCACCACTTCCATTGCTCTCCGGGTAGGAGTAACGTCGCCTGCACCAGAACACACCCAAGGCACACAACATCCCTGCACAGTGCTGCTCCACTCTCCCCGCAGAGGACTCCCAAAGCAGGAATGCTGTATATAGAGGGACAGGTATCCTCTATATTCTCTGAAGAGGAGCTTCTAGCAGCTCTTTACACATGAAAGCCTAGGAAGACAGACTTCTTGTTTGTCAGAGACTAGCAAGGGAAGACTTACTACCTCCTGAAGCAACACAAACCTCTTGGCCAAAAAATGTAATAGTATCACAATTATTTGGTAGTAGAATGAGCTTGCACATGTTCATGCATCTGTCAAAAGTTTGAAATGTTTTTGCCCATCACTTGATACCATACATCCATTCTTGTTTCCTGGCACACACCTTTTGTGCTTATGGCTCCAATTAGGGGTAAGGTTTCTCTTTATTAAAGACTCTTCGTGCATTTCTGAAATACCTCACACAAACAGCAGCTGAAGCTTTAGCAGGAAGACCAACGAAGTGCCAGGCTCAGCAGGCTATAGCACCTAATGATACTGTGGGTAAAAAATTGGGATTGTGGGGGAGGTTAGAGCAAATAAACAGCCAGACCTAAAGAACAAGATGTATGAAGGAAAAGGAGGTGAGATTTCTTATTTTAAGAGTCCTGGGCTGGTTGTAGTAAACAGCATGAAGAGTAGGATAAAGTCTAAAAATGAAAAGAATGCTTGCTCTCAGTTATGGACTTTAAAGGGAAGCGTGTTTGAAGAAGGAAGAAACTGTCAGAAACTCTGACTTTGAAGAAAATTTTGGAAAGAATGTTTGGTTCTGACATATCTCACTCTAATTCTGTTTTTAATTGTATTGAGAATAAATACCCTTCAAAACATCTAAAACACTGGCTAGTTTAGTTCCTCTGTAGCAAAGCATCTGTATCCAAGAGCTTAAACACTTCCCTATTGTGTTCCCAACAAAAAGCCAATTACACATTTAACCCCCATTCATCTATTCTTAAAGTAATTAAGAATTTTTAACTTAAATCCAGACAAATTATTCTTACTGAAACAGCTTCAGCATGACCTGTTCACAAATGTGTCTGCAGTATTAGGCACATGCTGATTTATGATATTATTAATGTATGATAATAATCATCACAGAAGTCCTAAACCCAGTTTCTTTTCACCCAAGAGAGCTTATTCACTGCAGTATACCTAGCTGCACTATATCCAGTCCACTATAAAAAAGCAGAAGATTGAAACAATTATTCTAATTTCCTCTGGAATAATATTCTACAATACAACAGTTAAATTCATTGTTGTGATTAGTTCCCACACCAAGCATTCTCCTCTATGCTCCCACTATGTAACCAGCACACTTGGGCAACTGTCAGTTTATTTTTGGAGCTCAGTTATCAGTCAGTAAAATAATTATCTGTTTATCTAAAGACATCTTTACATATAAAGTACAGAAATAAAACTTGATCTAAAGAAGGTTTTAACCTTCATCTGTCCTGGTTTCTTCCAATGTTATATCCACACCTCCCTGCACTGCCCACATAACTGATCTGATTTTCTTCCCACAAGGCCAGTACCCACCTGCAGAGCATCATAAAGCTGTATATACCCTCTGTGGCTCCACAGTTCACTGGCTTCCTTAGGCACTAGCTAAAATCAAGCAGAACCTCCCCCCTACTTCAACACAAATAAAGCACAATACCCTGCCTCCTCCTTGTTTTCACTTATAGCTTTTAAAGGAGCCACTGGGTTCAAGAATTCCTACAACACCAAACTGGTAGCACCTGCTTAAAATCTGCCTTGAGGTGGTAAGGCAACTGCCTATTTTGTCCTCACATGTAGGGATAAGTGTACAAGGTGACTAAAGGAGAATATTAACACTCCCACACACCTTTTAGTTCAGCAAGAAGCCTGCTCAGCAGCATGCCAAGTCATAACAGGGGATATCACCTTGATCCTTATAAAAAAGCTGATGCCATAAATACACTTCCAAATTGTTGTCTGAAAATAATGCAATACTGAGGTACCAGCAAGCATTTTCTAAATGTTATTTCATCTAGAAAATGACTGCCCCTATGTATCTTGCATATATACACTGGGTATACCATGTTTGTGTATCTGGAACCTCTCACTGCTTATTCATACGAAATCACCCCATCTTCTATTACTATAGTGCCTTAAGAGTATTAATATTTATCTACCCTGCTTTACAATAAACAGTGCATTTCACAAAAGCTTTTCTCCCAATTGCAAATGAATCTTCAAAGAAAAAAAACTCACCAGTTTTTATTATGTTTTCTACTTAAAATAGGCACATTTTATGAAAGATTAGTGTGAAAGCTTTAATATAAACTAATCTGAAGTGTTCATGGAAGCAAGCCATAAGCACTCATTTTTTTCTTTATGTTTGCTTGGGTCTCATTTTGGAAAATACTGCATTCATAAATTTGAAGAGTAACAGTCATCAATTACCTCCGAGTTATAAACTTTTAGATCTTTTCTATATAGTTGTATATAGACACACAGTCTGTACTTAAAGATATTAAAGCAAGACTGCTGAATTACAGCAATCTTAGCCCCATGGTTCCTTGCATCCCAAATCAGACCTACAAGTGGCACAAAGGACTAAAGATCACAAGCTTACATCCACCCTCTTCCCCAATTCACCGCTATTCTTACTCATTTAAGCATCAGAAGGCAGACTTGTATATCTCCTTTCAGATGAGTTTGAAAGGTTGTCAGAGATCACAGCTGGAAGGGTAGACATAAAACCCATGTTTCATTCTCTCAGATTGTTCTTTCTGATAACAGAATTGACATATCTTCATTCCTGACTATACTCCGAGCCACTTAGAGCCAGATATTCAGGAACAACCCATTTTAGACACAAACGTCTCAAACTCTGCCTGCATGCCCTCAGTTAAGACCATAGTATGTATGTCCTCAAAAACTCATTATGCCTCCATAGCTACCACGTCACCTCAGCAATTTTGAGTATGAGTACTGAACTGCATATTGCTTTTTTCTAATTTAAAAAACAAACTTGTGGTTTGAAGATCTTAACCTTATACAAAAATAAACACACATAATATTAAGTCTGAACTTCAAAAACCACGTTTGACTCAAACCTCAACATTAACCTGGCATTTTTCTCCTTAAGAAAAGTACCCCACATTCCCTATTAGATCAAATCACTGATATCCAGCTTGCATAAATATTTTTCCAAAGGCCAGAATAAAACTTTGG